GATTAGTGCTGGGAGGAGCTTGTCTCAGGTATAGAGGGCAGCAAATAGGACAGGTCCGTGCAATCCGCTTGGCTGTGGCAAAAGGAATTTTCCATTTTTGCTGTAATCATCCTGCATTAGAATGTAACACCTGATGTTCTTCTTCAGCGGAAACAAAGGCAACAGTTAATAATTTATCAGCACAATCATTACCATAAGTAAGTGGACCTGGAAGTCAGTTATGAGAGCGAATATTGGTGATAAACATAGGATTAAATCTTTCTTGAAGGTGCCATTGAAGAGTCTGTAACAATAAGAAAAAAAATAGGGGAAGAAGAGGCACAAAGCACAGCTATGGGAAGCAGAGGGAAAACATGGGCAACATTATGAGGATCTGCAACTATATTTACAGGCTTAGAAATGTTGAACAGCACACAATACATAGCAAATAATTCACTTTGTTAAGCAGATGAATATAGAGAGATTGTGTGAAGAAGAGTTGTTGATCTCTGAAAATTGATATCTTATTTAATTTAGTAGCATCAGTAAAAAGGTTTTCTTCCAAAGGAATGGGGAATGAAGAAACAATAGAAGAGATAATCCAGTCATGTCAGGACAAGAAGGGCAACAAGGGATCATGAGGTCAATGAAATAAAACTTGTCCATAAAAATTGGCCAAAGCAATCTGAAAATCAGGAGAGAATTGCTGCAAAATTTGAAACTGGTATGAAGTGAGAGACAAATGGATAGCATCACAATTAACACCTTTTAACTGTACTATCTGAGTTAGTCTTAAAACAATGAGAGAGGCAATGAGTTCAAAATACTGCATGACTTTGTGGGGAGGCTGAACAGGAAGATAAATTCATTCAACAGGAGTGTTTGCTTGATAAAGAAGTCCTGTGGGGCTTTCAGGAGTGTTGATAACAAGAAAGGAAAGAGGCAAATCATCATGAATATGAAAAGTGAATCGAGAATGCAAAGCACTTTCAACAAGTTGTAGTTCTTTTAAAGCCTTTCCAGAGAGGTTTCATGGGCTGTCTAAAGCAGAGGGTCCTGATAATGTAGAAAATAGGTCAAACAACTGTTAATTAGGGATGCCTAATATGGGACGAATCCAATTGATATCTCCCAATAATTTCTGAAAGTCATTTAGAGTTTGCAAAGATTTTCTTTGAAGAGTAATTTATGAGGTTGAATCTTAGATGCCTGTAACCTGAATCCTAAATAGGAGTAAGGATCATCAGTTTGAATTTTTTCTGGTGCAATTTGAGGCCCATGTTGTTTTAAATTATTGTTATTATTATTATTATTATTATTATTATTATTATTATTATTATTATTATTTTAATTGTTGTTGTACCTACAACAACTCTGTTTAATGGTGATCTCCAGGTGGGTAATGAAATCTACATAGGCCTTATCTGGCTGTTGATCAATTTTCATATAACTGAGACTAGACTCACCAGAGGGAGTAATGTGATCTCAAGCTTCCAGGGCTCTTAAACAAGGGGGCCATCCCTTTGCAATTGGATCCACATTTTTAGATAAATATATTACTTGCTGATTCCATGGGCCTACTCCTTGAGTGAGCACCCTTAAAGCAGTATGATTTCTTTCAGCTGTGTACAAAGTAAAAGGCTGGGTCATATTTAGGATCCCTGATATAGGGGGCAGCAGAGAGGGTTAGTTTTAGCTGTTTAAATGCTGACTCTTGCTCTTCCCCCTATAATAATTACTGTCCTTGTTGGGCCCTTTAAAGCTTCATATAGAGGTTTGGCTAAGTCTGCAAACTCTGAATCCAGATCCTGCAAAAACCTGTCATCCTCAAAAATTCTGTCATCTGCTTTCCAGTCCTTTATCTCCCAAGCAGCATATTTCTTTGGAAACTTCAAATCCTAGGTATCTGACTTGCTATATGCAAATTTGAGCCTTTTCCATGAAACCTCATAACCTGCCTCTTGAAGCAGCATTAATAGCTTCTCAATACCCTGTGAAGTTTTTATTCATTTAGTACATCAGAAAACTAACAATAATAATCACAATTATATGTATGAAACTTTATGCCCTTTAGTTTAGTTTGATATCAAAAGCATTTTATTTCCAATAAAACCTCTTAATAACTTTTTGTTTTCCTACAAAACATAGCATATTCTGAAAATGACCATTATAAACATATCACAGTAAAATATTTAGAATGTAACCTCTTGATGATAACCAGTGCAAACATTTTATAGCAACATATTTGATGAGACATATGTTTTCATAAGGCTATGAAAATTATTGGGGCTCCCACTAGTGAATAAAGACCAGAATAAATTTTTCTGAGCAGTTGCTTCTTTATTCACCAACAGCAGTGTACCCAAAAGTTTATATTTAATTATCTTGACAAATTTTAACTTATAATGCTTGATTATGGAAATTAGCAAATTATTTGTATCCTTGACAGAATTTCAATAAAAAATATAATTGGACAAACAATTTTCAAACAGTTGGACAGACATAGACAAACATATAAGACAATTTATGAAACTAGAGTGCACTCAATGTATTTGGCCAATTGAATTATAAAATCTCTTTTAGTCACTAATCAAAATGTTTATAGGTCAATTAATAGAGATCTCTTGTAGAATTAGAATCAAAAGAAATGAAAGCTCTTTATACTGTAAATGTAAACCTTTGATAACAAACTTGAAACCAACAAGCAAACATACATGGTTTTTTATTAAATCATTTTCTTACATCTTTTCTATATACTTAGGCCTTTTGGTCTTGTATATCTTTCTTTATCTCTCTCTAACATGACAAAAATACAAAAAACCTTTCATGTCAATAATATATCTCTTTTATTTATAGATTTCCTAATATTTTTCTGTCTGATTTACTATTGACCTCTATAACAAACTTCAGCTGTTAAAATCTTAAATTTTCTTTTTTTTTCCCCAGATTGTTACATGTTAAAATTTGACTGGCTGCCAATAGAACAATATTATTGTGAGTTTTTTATCAACAAAGTATAAAAAAGAGCAAGTTAACCCTATAATCACAATCCAAGAATTTGCAATGTACAAGAAGCGTTTTAAGTACACCAATCAAACTCAATTTAAGTTGAAACAAAGATACATTTATAAAATAGTTAAAATTCGTAACATGATTTTTCTTGTAATATCTCTTGCTGTCTGGTAAAACACAATTGCAGGTTCTCTGGCTTTGTTTTAGATTTCAGAACTTTGCAGACAGCATCAGACTGATAACACAGTGTTGGCCTCTCTTTTTCCTTTTTTTTTCTAAAAATATAGAGTTGCAATTATGCACTTTGATCATATGGCCCCTTCACTGCAAGTAACTGGGATGATTGAAGTGTGTAGGAGCTTATAAAGCCTACTACAGATATAGCACAATGGACTTGGTGATAGGGCCATGTACAAAGCCTGTGCCTCTTGGCAGTGATGGAAACATCAGTGCCAGTGTCTGCAAATCCAGTAAATTTTCTTCCCTGGATAATTATCTCACAGGGGTGGAGAGTTCCAAACTTTCCTTTAGATTGCCCCATCCCCTGGGTTGTGTCTGACTCACCATTCCAAACACTTGCATCATTCCAGGGTTCCATTCTCCATTTCTGGGTTCTGCCAAGTACCTATTTGGGCACCACCTGTTGAGGTCTCCTTCTAGAGGAGGGGACTTGGGGAGACAGCCATGGACACAATGAATCACCAAGAGCTGATGGCTAATGGCAAAGTTTATTTCTTACTTAGGGTCTTTATAGCAGATTCAAGATGACACGCAAAATAGAGTCACAGTGGTTTGATGATAAACAATAGTCACAAAGAGGCATGAGTAAGATAAAGGGCAATCACAAGAAGCTAAGAACAGATACACCATGTTTAAACTAAAGACAGAACATCTAGATAAAACAACATCTGTTTATGAATAAAGAGAGTGTGAACTGGTAAAAGGGAAGGTAAACCAGGAATAAGAACAAAGAAGGAATTAGGGAGTGGTTCTCAGTTGAGGGACTAGGCTCCAGCATATCACCTTGGGGACACCTGTGTCCCGGTGAGAACCGGCATTCTGGGACTCAGGGTCAGCGCTTTGGCCATCCATCCTCTCATGCCCCAACAGTCCAATATTGTGATCCATCAGTAAATTGCAAATCAAAACCTACATGAGATAGCATCTCATGCCTTTTAGAATGGCTGCTACCAAAGACAGAAGACAAATGTTGATGAGGATAAGGAGAAAAGAAATCCTTGCCTGCTTTTCCCATGAATATAAGTTAGTACAACAAATATAGATAAGTAAATTAAACTATATTGCCATGTATTTTTGTATAAATACGTTACTGAAGGCATGAAGTTAATAAATAACCAAATTGGAACATGTTAAGCAATTTAAGGGCTTCTGAAATATGAGGGAAGTTGATAAAAAATGAGAAAATATTCTCAAATGGGGTAGGGCACTGCCTCTCCACAGGATGAATCTCAAGTGTATTTTTAACTGTATTGATTTTTTCATTTTAGCAAATATCCTGATCGTGTCATGGTGGTGAACACTTGTAATCTTAGCACTCGAGAGAAGGCTGGGGAATCACCTTGAACTAATGGTCAACCTGCGTTACCTAGTGAGTTTAAGGCCAGCTGTAAATACAGAGTGAGACACTGTCTAAAAATGTCTTCAACTTTTATTTCTGTTGTTTATTTTTGTAAGACACACATAACTTAGCTAGTCTTAAGCACAGTTTGGTGATTTTAATTACATTATAATTTTTGTACAACCAAACACATTGCTACTCATTTTTCATCTCTCAAAGGAAACTTCAGCCATATGAATAAAACCGAAGTTCTACCAACTCTCAGTCAACCATGATTCTTACATGAGTTATGAAAAGAAATTATAAAAAATCAGTTTTCTGAGATCATATGACCCATAAAATATTATTTACAGGTAAGTTTGGATTTTCAATTTTACTACATTTTCAAAACAACATCTTAAATATACACAAACAACCTGAGATTAGACTCTTAACAGTGGAGCCTCTTGAGGGTGCTATTGATGTCCCTGTTCCTCAGGCTGTAGATGAAGGGATTCAGCATAGGGGTGACCAAACCGTACATCAATGAGGTCACCATGCCCTCCCTGGGAGAATATGACACAAATGAACCAAGATATGATGTGAGGCCTGTTCCATAAAATAAACAAACAACTGACAGGTGAGAACTACAGGTAGAGAAGGCTTTGTATCTCCCACCTGATGAGGATATTTTTAGAATAGAGGAAACAATTTTACAGTAAGAGAAAAGGATCCCTAACATGGGAAAAAAGCCTACCATTGTACCAACCAAATATGTGACAAAAGTTTTTATCAAGGTATCAGAACATGAAAGGTTAAAAATTTCAGTAGGATGGCAGAAAAAATTAGCAATTTCCACATCCTTGAAGCAAGTAAATTGCAAGGCAGTTACATTTTGCACCTGGGAGTCCAAAAGGCTAATAAAGACACACACCAAAAGTAGTAAGACACAGAGGTGAAGATTCATAATGACTGCATAGTGCAGGGGGTGGCAGATGGCCAGAAACCGGTCATAGGCCATCACTGTCAGAAGCATGTCATCCATACATCCAAACATTGAAACAAAAGACATCTGTGTCAGGCAGCCCACATAGGAGATAACTTTGATGTGAGTTGGGATATCCACAATCATCTTTGGGACCATTGCAGAGGAGAAACAAATGTCAGCGAAGGACAGGTTGCAGAGGAAGAAGTACATGGGGGTGTGGAGGTGGGAGTCAGAGATGACAGCCAGGATGATGAGCAGGTTTCCAAGCACTGTGACCAGATACATGGATAGGAAGAGCCCAAAGAGAATGGGTTTCAGGTCTGGGTCCTCTGTGAAACCAGTGAGATAGAATTCGAAGATGTATGTTAGATTATGTGCTCCCATGGTGCTTGAACAGCTTTTCAAAAAATTCACAGGAAAACTGAAATGAGTAAATAGCACACAAGACTCTCAGTCTGTTGTAAATTCAGGTGTTCACAATTAAAATGTACCTACAGTTCTATAGACCTTAAAACATATTGACCCATTGTGATAAACCGTAGGCTCAGGAGGTCTGTCATTATTAACTTACTTGTTATCCACTCCTTTCTGGGCACTCTCACTTTATAGACGTTCTGGTGACAATGTAAGAATATTTGAGATTAAAGCTATTTAACCCCAGTAAAATATAGTAAACTCTTTTAAAAATAAGAATATATATTTCTCTTTATAAACCATTCTTTTCATTTCTATTAAAACAAGAACAAAAATTCCAATACAAAATATTTAGAGAATAAAATCATTTAATACCCAGTATATCAAAGTCTTTTTAAAAAGGGCACAAATGTTAAACACAAATGTTGTACAAATTCACAATTCATAGACAAAAAGGATTCTCCCTTATAAAAGAAAACAGATCATAGCACAAAACTTTTTTTTTCAATAAACTGAAAAAAACAAGTAATGAAAAGGGAACACATTAGGATATATAATAAAATATTTTTGAAACAATGGAACAGAGAATTTGAATTATTTAAACTTCTCTTTACTTCCTTCCCTTTCTCTATCTTCTATTTATCTCTTTATTTATATAGCTATGTATTTTTCTTGCTGTTATGTACCAAACATATTTCCATTTTTCTATCTGTATATTGAAATATCCAATAGTTTATTGATAGTTATATGATTTTTCTCATTGAGTTTATTGGCACTTTTTAGGTATACAGTATAGTTACATTCATAATTGGGATCATAAAAGTACATAAAATTGTATTATACATGTGTAAGTAAAGTAATTCATCTGTAAAACATGAATAACATTCACCAACCTTATAGAGTTGTTATGTGAAAGTTTTGAAAATATTTAATTTTAATAAAATATTAAAAAATATGTGATCCACACATAGATAGATGTTAGATGATACATGGTTAGTTTTTAATGCTCAGACTAATCACTTTAATCAGGTTTGAGATTTTTTTAAAAAATTCTTATGCCAGATTTTGGAACTACTGTCTTACAATATTTTCTTGCATTCAAAAATGCTTCAGCCATATTACCTCTCCAAATAATAATATATGATTATTTACTGATATTAACACAGTAATTACTTTTTGGAGACTGATAATTACCCATGAAATTTGAATTGTTGCCATATTTCTATAATTCCATTCTCTTCTTAAGCTGTTCTCAAAGAAATCTTTTTTTGTGAATTTCATGCATAGATTTTTCCTATCAAGGTATTTAGATCAGCATGATTCTGGAATCCACAGTTTTCCTTCAAAATTACCTAAAATTTCATAAAGCTCATTTAAATCATATTCAACACAAACCTATGGCCCTTGAAAGAAATTAGGCTACATATACAACAGGTTTTAACTCTTCCTGAAGTAATGCAAACCATTACCTGGAGATTCTTTATTTCAATTGTAAATTTATTAGTTTGAAAATCTTTTTGAAATAATTGTGCATCTTTCCCTAACCTACCAGTGAAAATCTGTATTACAATATTGGTGGGAGAGACATTTTTTATTTCCAGCAATAATACATGTAAAATCTCTCATTTTTCCAAAAGAAGTCAGTCATTATCATTTACGTCAACTTATTCTTGAGAGATATCTTCAAAATATCCCTCCAGTCGGTTTAGCAATAATCTCATTGAGATAAAGCATTTCAACCTGTAAAGAACAATGTGAACCTTTTGCCCCAGTGGAGGAGACTGCTTCCTGGAGGAGGATGGGACTTGGCAAGCGAGCACTCATTCTTCCATAACTGACCGACTTCCACATGCAGACTGTGTGAAAGTCTGCTCCCTGCGCTCTCACCACTTAAGGAAAATAAGGAGAACATCACCCATCTCCATATGTGTAGCAACTAAAGAATGTTTGGAAAGTCAGAATGTAGTCAGTGTATTTACTTTGTAAAAAATGGATTTCCTTCCTTATCCAAGGAGAAAACTATTGATAAATGCAGTTAACTGCATTTAAAAGGTTCTAGAACGTGGACTGATACGAAGCTCTGTAACACAACTCGGTCTGAGGCAAACATTCATCTGCTTCTTTCCTTTGGGGGAAAAAAAACCCATATGCATCTCTCCCGTATTTTTAAATCACTGATATAGATGCAAATACATGGATTACTGGGCCCATATGTCCATGGGACACAGACAAGATGTATCTTTATATTTTCTACATCGAGGTACATTTGCGGAAGGAAAACATGCATAGGAGAACTTACCAAGCAGGTTTATGTCACCCCAAATAAGGAAATTATTGTGAATCAAGGAGGAATCCTCTCAATATTTGACAGAGGTTTTTTATTTGTTTTTTTTTTATTGAGTTTATTGGTACATTTTAGGTTTACAGTACAATTACGTTCATTATTGGGATCTTGTACCTTTACATGATAGGTCTTGGTTCTCATTTTTCCTCCTTGTCCATGCCCTCCCTTCACCCCTTCTTCCCCTCCCCATTTACAAACACTTTATTTCCATTTTTTCATTTTCTCATTTTTTTTCTTTTCCCTTATTACCTTTCCCCTACCCTTCCCATTTTCTCTACACCTTTCTGATGCCTCCTCCGTGTCAAACATGGTATAGGCTCTGGGGAATCAGACTTAAGGACAGCATATCATTCCTCTGCAAACATACACATATAATTACACAAAGACAAAACTAAAATGTGCTGCTACAGAAATTGGAAAAGAGTAATTTCAGGTTACAGAACGTAATGGTTATAAAGGTTATCTTAATCATTATTAATGATGAAAATTAAATTTTATTTTGCTCTGTTATACATATTAACCCTATAAGCAACACTCCTTATATGTATAATCTGCCATGCAGTTGTTTTTAAGAGAAATCAATACTAAAGCCAGGGCTTCCTCAGAAATATTAAAAATGTGCCCTTGGGGCCTGGGATTTAGCTCAGTAGCTCCGCCGCCTACGTTGCAAGTGCAAAGACTGAAGTTCTATCGCTGGTACAAAAAAAAATTGCCCTGCATCATAAAATAATAAATAGAGCTAAAATGATTTAAAAATTAACAGATGCTTTCCGATGCACTCAAATCTTTTGTTGTTATCCAACGTACAGAAAAATTTAAGCAGAGGCTTAGAGGACTTAACCTTGGATGCATTTAAAGTATATTTTAACTCCTTCATCTCCTAAATGGAAATGAAGTCAACATTTGACATATCGCCATTGGAAACTATGTGAAATAATTTCTGGCACACAGAAGAATGTAGGAAGCTCCACAAATATAGTGCAGTGTGTAGCAGAGAAATATGTGCTGCATTAAAATGAGGGAATATATTAGTTTGTTAGGATGATAATCTTTTAAAAATACTTGTGCTTCTTTCCCTATTATACAAGTGAAAATCTATATCAAAATACTGATGGGATATACAGCTCTGATATTTTTTTTTGGTATCTTTGTTGGTGTTTATGGTATTTTTATTTTTTAATTAAGTTTATTGGTACATTTTAGGTATACAGTAAAGTTACATTCATTAATGGGATCTTGTACCTTTACATGACAGGTCTTGGTTTTCATTTTTCTCCTTGTCCCTGCCCTCCCTTCACCCCCCCACCCCTCCCCATGCTCTGATTTTCAACAAATAATATATGTAAAATTTTGCAACTCATTACTGCATATCTTTTTTTGGGGTTTTTTGTTTATTTTTGTTGTTGTTGTTGCTGTTGTTTGAGACAGGGTCTCACTAAGTACTTGATACTGACCTGAAACTCACTACATAGCCCAGGCTGGTCTCAAATTCAGTGATCCTCCTGCCTCAGCCTCCCAAGTGCTAGGATTACAGTCATGTGATACCATGCTCAACTAGTGATGCTTGCCTATGACCCATATCTGTCTTTCCTATGGTGGATGCAGCTGGTACCTCCCACTGCTCTATTGTGTGATCTTTCAGAAACCTCCAGAAAGGACTGGAGCAGGGTTCATGGACTTCCTCCAGTGACAGGAAAGGGAAATGTCTGTTTTTGTTGTTAAGTAGACAACTGCCAGTACTAATCCTCATGTGATGCCCTGTCTCTATAATCAGACAGGTCAATTTAAAGGTTGCTTAACATTTTTATATTTAACAACCTGCTGTGTATTTCATTAAAACAACAAGTTCATTTTCCACATGGAGGGACAATGTGAACACTCATGATGACAAGAATACAAAATCAGTGAAATGAAGTGAGATGCATAGAACTCATTTCCAAGTGCCTAGAATCCAAGAAACCCTCAGTAGCAATTCATGATGCTATGTTCACTGTGCTCCTCCTCTACATCCTCATCATCACCTTCACTATCCTTTCTCAGTGCTTAGGTGATACTGCAGAAGGGTACATTTTCTTATGCTAAGGGTGAGACAACAATAGGAAACAGAAACAGGGTGTATACAAACCAAATTTGATATAATCATTCCCCAGTAAACCAAAAACATACACATCTTCTATTTTGCGTATTTGCACCTTCCCATCTGCCTACCCAAAGTGTAATTTTGTCTTTATGGAAAGGAAATTACACTTTCAAGGATCCTTCCTAGGTCCATGATGTCCCTCTCCACTTACTGGATGATGCTGCTTCTCTGCTGCTCATAGTCAAGAAGAGAACATCAGAAGATCCTTTTCTGTCTCTGCCCAGTGAAAGCTCTGACTGTCCTCAGGATTCACATTAATGCAAAGACAAATAGGAGCTCAGGCACAGGTGTGGGACTCGCTAGATTGGAATCATCAAACTAAAGGGCTGGAGGCACAAGCTGATTGTTGACAATGCTATGATTGTGGAAGCTCAAAGCACAGAGCATATAATTAGCCAACTTGGTCTCTGCCATCCGAATCTCTAA